TGAGACAAAAATCAGACACATTAAAAGACTTCCTTTTTTTGAAATATCCATGCCCCTTTGAGCCTTGGGATGAACCTAGACACATTTGGCTCCTTCGAATTCCCTCCAGCGTTGCTCTTCGATTGACCTATTGTTACTTCCTTCGAATGGCTTTCTTTCAACTCAAACCAATCGAAACATCAACTTTACCTTTTTAACTTGTCAAAGGTTGCTCCAGCTCTCTATCAATAGAAGGCTTTGTAGGAGCCTCCTCACTTTATTTCGAATTTCCCCAAGCCTCATCATTTTGGCCTTCGATTGAGTCCTTATTTGCCTTGTCCTTCGATTGGCTCTGACACTAACCAACTAAACCAATCAAAAGACTTCAACCTGGCCAGTCGAAGCTTGATCGAAAGGGAGGGGGACAGCGCCCAATCAAAGCTTGTGAATCAAGATTGCATCAAAGAGTGCCAAATGCCCAATCAAAGACTAGTGAGTCAAGCTTGTATCGAAGAGGGTCCAACGCTCAATCTAAGTTGGGGGACCAAAGCTTGATCGAAGGTTTTTTAGATGCCCAATCGAAACTCCTTGTCCATATGTCAATCGAAAGACGTCCTGTTCAGACGCCAATCAAAGGACCTTGTTAAAATTCCAATCGAAAGAACTTGTCCCAAGGCTAATCGAAGACTCCTGTCCAAATGCCAATCGAAGGCACCTTATCCCAATGCCAATCGAAGTCTCCTTTATCTTCAAAAATTTTATTTTTTCTTTAATAAAGTGTTTGTAATCACCCATGTAAGAGAAAAATCTTGGAAAAATATGAGAGGGCAAATTTTGGGGTACAACAGATTGCAAGGCAGAAAAAATATTCAATGTTCTTCTATCCTTGAACAAAACATTTTTTCTACCCTTGCAATCTATCTTACATAATGGTGTTGATGATGTTGTTGTATTTTTGGAAAAAACACTTAGTTAAAGAAGGTTTGAAAATTTATCTTTGATAGATTGCAAGTGCAGAAAATAATTCTTGCTTCAGGTTAAACAAAGAAGGGAGTTCAACCTTTGAAAATATTAGAAGTTGGATGCATACAAGATATGCAACAAAATCTAGAATTACAACAAGAGTGATGAATCTGGATTTGTTTAATATTTTGTCTAAACAATGTAATATTTAAATAAAAGACTAATTATCTTGGTTTCTTCTAAAACCAAGGGGTAAACATATTTTTTGAGGATATTGATTACCGAGGGGCTAAATTTATCCTCAATAAAAGATTAATTATCTCGGTTTCTTCTAAAACCGAGGGGATAAATTTGGCGTGATTGTTGAGGATATTGTTTATCGTCCTTAAACAAATCTTTGTCATCCATTTAATGAGTTTCAGTGCTCAAGACACTACCATTAGTGATCCGCGTGAAATATAAAAAAAAAACTTCCATTATAAAAGAGTTTTGAATATTAAAAAGCAAGTGAAGCATCATGAAACACTTGAAACTATCTACATCCACCACTTTAAGGTTTCCAAGAGAATTTTTCAGGAAAATTTCTCTACGTAGAATTGCAAGAGAAAAAAAATTATTTGGGTTTAAGGTTTTTATTCTTATATATTTATTTGAGCATAAATCATTTATTTATCTAACCCTTTTTTAGTTTTATTTCAAAAAAATATGTACAAAAGCAATTGAAAATATCATGCACCCAATACTTCCTCTTCCCCAAAATTCTATGATTTGAAGATCTAAAATCTAGATCTTCAGGGAAATTAATTTTTACTTTAATATTATTTGTAAGCAATGTAATATTCTAGGTAAATGGTGTTGTTTATAAACAAATTAAATTATTAATATTATGTGTAAATAATGTAATTAATTTTTAAAAAATAATTTATCTTACCCCTCGATTTTATTGATAAATTGGTAGATATTATACGCTAGTTTTGAAAGTAATAAAAATGCAGATGCTGGGGATTGAACCCATGTATAGATAACTTAACCCCTTAATTTTTTTAATAACCTAGAGGTAAAGTGGTAGCTTTTCATGACATCCTTCATTACCTTACCTATGTAGCTGAGGTTAAATGTATTTCAGGTCCGAGGTGAAATGTGTTATTTGTAGTAGTGATTGTTCGTTATCCTGGGCCCTCTTTGTTGAAACCAGAGGAAGGATTGAATCCTCTAGAATTTAAGTGGCCGCAGCTTCGACATGTTGATCCACTTTAAGAGTAGAAGCAGAAATCACTATAACCGAGGTAAGTGAAAGGGTCGGGGAAGGAACAATAGTCACCAAAGGAGTGGGGGAAAGCAGAAGTCCCTAGTATTCACCATATCCTAAATAATTTGAGCATTTGGAAGGTTGTGAAATAACTTCAACTTACTTATTTTCTCCATGCTATCTGCAAAATGTAATCACGCATGTAAAGAAATGAAGACTCTGATCTCACCAAATAACTTCCTCATCTCCTCCCGGGAAACTGCACTCAAGTATCATGAGTTTCAATCCTCCTTTTTCTTACTTTTGTATGGAGAACCTCACTAGGACCAAACACTTTCTCATATCAAAGCCCTTAAAACCAATATCGTATTTCCTCCTTCATTAGCACACCATCCAGAGAAATAGAAGCCAACTTGGTATAGCAGGAGTAAGAATCCTGTCTAAAATGGAAGGATATTTACAAATAAGAAATGTCCCAAGTAGTCTCCCTAGTCCAGAGTAAAAGAGTCGAACCAAGGATTGACCTAATGGAAGTGAATAATTCCCTTATTTTGATAGTTATCCCGGAAAGTACGCTTCAGATTGAAGAGATGAAAAAATAAACTAAGATATGGCTTTCAGGATTCATGATCAGCACATAGTTGTAACACCTTTATGAATTCCCATGACCCTGGATGAAGCTGGGAATGAGCAACTTTTAATAATTTTAGGACGGTTATCTTTAATACAAAAAAGGTAGCTGAAGTCATATCCCTGTAGACATGCATTCATAAAATGGGATCATGCAGTCATCAAAATAATTGCATATCCTCTATCTCGATCCCCACTGGGAGAGCTAATCACTACAAGGTATCATCGACCATAATGTTTCCAGCATCTATAGCCACCTCGATTTTCAAGGTCGGTGAAATACCCTTTATCTTTGGATCCACCAAGTCGTATTCAATTATGTCTTATTGGGCTCGAAGATTTAGACGAGCCTTCACTTTAACATCACTAGGTTTGCAATTATCGGTCCTCGGACAAAGCTAGATATAACTCTTAGTGCATTCTCTTATCTATTAATAGGATTGCACCTCCTCTTTTAACAAGACGTGAGGGTACATAGGAACTTCACTGTGATTTATTCCTCTACTAACATTTGATATAAGGGCATCTAACGAGACAGAAGAAGAAGTTTTTTCTTCCAAGGGAATTCCCATATACCATTTTTGATTCATAACTGTCAGATATGGGTATGATTCCTAGTGCTAAGTAAAAGCTACTATGATAAAGGAAATGAGAATCAGGAAAGGTCAATTGTATTATCACTCATCCTAACTAAAAAATAGGAAATAGTGAAGATAAAAATCCATGTTGGAATAATACCTGATTATGTGGGTTTGATGAAGTAGGAGGAATGAAAAAAATCGGAAGCTTTAAGGAAAGCACTAAAATTGCTTCTAGTGGTACTCTCAAGGAAGAAGAAACAAAGAAGTTTTCTACTAAGTAACAAGGAGTTTGAATGCTAACGGCTGTGAAAGTGTTCAAAACTCGATTCACCATATTTAAAAGCAACGGAGGCTGAAAGGATGAGACCATTTACATAAATAAATCATAAGATCAACGACTAGGTTTCCACTTATGGATACTCGCCAACTCAAGTGCAAACAAGTACTATGTAAACAATGATATACCCTAGATGGTCACGTCACTTGACGTGTTAGAAAAAGGTGACAAAGTGTTTAAATGATGAAACCGCATGAAATGTGTATATTCTCCATTACTATTTTCCTAAACTGATCCCAAGTTTTTTCAGTTCCATTTCATGCCGGATCACATCATGGAGGTCGGTCAATGATTTTAGACTTCATGTGGCTCCTTCAGTTCCCAACAAAAATTTGGGGGAAACTATTGTGGATCAGCGAAATTCTCAAATGACTTGGACCCACTCCACTTGATCCAAAATATAAAATTAGTTTGCACAATAATAACAAGGTACAATCTTTGATCTTCATTTTCACTACTCATCTTGAATCTTGAACTGACTTGAACATTAGAGTGTTAACCATCAGATCCACCCCGCGCTATCGTAAAAGAGATCACGGTCACCGTTCAAGATTACATACACCCCTTAATTGGTTACTAGTAAGGAGCCCACCGTATTGAGCCCAATAAGATTGATGAGGATGGACCAATCAACACTAAGCCCAAACGTATCATGAGTCCACATGTTAAGTTCAAGGATTACGTGATATACAAATGATCCTTGCTTATGGTTCTAGATGGCAATCTTGCACTAGATTCAAGTTGTTAGATATGTAATCCCTTGTGATGGAGCCTATTAGTTGTGTATTCTATTATTTCTCTTTTATAATAACAATTATATTATCTTGTAAGAGATCATGAATGGAATTACCAATTCTCTTCCTTCATCTATATTCTTTAAAAAATACTTATTCCTCAAACTCTAATATTTATCTATAACACTCACCCGGTTGGATTACATATATATTAGAAAAATTCATATTTATCCACTTCAAAAAGTTAAGTTAAGTTGCCCATAAACTAAAGTGCATTGAAAATATTTAAAGTTTAAATTATTTAATAATTATTTAAATATAATAAAATAAAATGATGGAGATGGAAGTTGTCACATTTAGATTAGCGATTCAAATATTTAATTGAAATGTTTTATCATAATTGTTTCAAATAATTATTTACTACATAATGTTGTTGGAAAAAAATTGTACTCCAAATTTTAACTAATTTATATTTACATTTGTGGTCAACCAAAATAAACTAAAAGCTTCAAACTATAATGAGCAGTTTATCTGCTTTCTTCCCTATAGTTACGTTCAACAGCTTCATGGTTTAGTGGTTGAATCCTTATAATAGTTTCTGGTACTGGCAATATAGGTGTTGCATCTAATCCAACAATCTTTCGACATGTTTCAAGAAGACACTGTCTACACTTGGGACATGATGAATGTTCCTTTAGCCATTTATCAATGCAACGAACATGAAAACCATGGTTGCATTTAGGTAATATGCGCACTTTTTCACCTTTTGTGAATTCTGAGATGCATATCACACACTCGATATCCGAACCTGGTAGTTTCAAGTCAGTTGAATAGCTCACTATGGGGAATGTCTTGAGAGCTTTCTTCTTGATTCCTTTATTAGCCAATTGTTGTGAAGCTTGGTTGTTGTTGATGGCTACATTTGAAAGCCTCAAGGCACACCTTATGATGGAGTTTAATGCAAGTGAACATACAAGCGCACACAATAGGACTGCAAGTATCATTACAACATTTGAATCAAATTGACGAATTCCAAAATATGAGTCTGTTGAATTGCGGTTGTTTGTTAAAACATGAGAGTTGGTTAGTGATCGATGATCAGCAGGGTTTTGGAAGAGTAGCCTTCTTGTGTGAGAATCCACAAAAAGCTCATGGATGAGTTGTGAAGTAAAGGAAGTAGAAGCATACATGTTCTTTGTTGGGGAACTTGATGAGTTTGTTAATTAGAGAGCTCGAGGGTTGTTGCTATGCTATCTTAGATAGGAGTCTATATATAAGAAAGTTATATAATAAGGTATCTTGCTTTGGTTAAAGTTAGAATGTAACTATTATTATAATTTGGCGCCAAGTTGGTATATTAACGAATATTTCTTTAAGTACAATCTTCATGCAATTGGTTAGATTGCAATATGCTTGAGGAAATCTAATCTAATATTTGATCTGCAATCTAATCTGATATTACTATTTGCCTACAGCTATAAGTACTTTTTATGGGGAAAGTGCTTGTTGAAAGGGCTTTTTATTTGCTTTTTGTTTGTATTGATTTGTTTAGTTTATTGGCAATATTTGATTATAACATATTTGGATGTAGAAGCGCTCACAGTGATATTCGTATCTTGATTTGTTGGATATCACTAATTAATGGTGAGTATTTCTTTCCACATGCATCTTGTGTAAGGGATAAGGGAGAAATGTAAAGGTGGGCTTAGACAAGTGTTAGTTGAACAGCTAGATATATATTACTACAACTATGCATAACAGCTAGATATATATTACTAAGACAAGTCGCTAAAACATTATTTTTGTATTCAAAATGTTAATTTTGGAATAAAATATTGTATTATTCATTGTTTTGGAGTATACAGAACAGTATTATATATACTGTTTGAGTAACAAACTGTAACCAACTGTTTAGTAACTAACTAAACAGAATTGTAACAAACTGTAACAAACTGTTTAGTAACAAACTAAACAGAATTATTTTCATCATGTAATAGCCCCCCACAAGCTGGACTATGGATATCTAATAAACCAAGTTTGGAAACAAGAGAATCGAATGAGGGAGCTGCCAAAGGATTGGTGAGAACATCTGCCAATTGAGCAGCAGAAGAAACTGGTAAAAGATGGATGAGACCAGTTTGGATTTTCTCACGAATGACGTGGCAGTCAATTTCGATATGTTTTGTTCGTTCATGGAAGGTGGGGTTGTGAGCAAGGTAGATAGCACTTTTGTTGTCACAATAGACTAAGATAGGTTGATCAAAGGAGATGTGGAGATCCTTGAACAAATACTGCAGCCATTGCAATTCACAAGTCAAGTTTGCCAAGGCCCTGTATTCCGCTTCTGAACTTGATTTGGATATTGTAGACTGCTTTTTGGATTTCCAGGATATGAGGGAATTGCCAAGGAACACACAATATCCAGTTACGGATCTGCGGGTAGCAGGGCAACTTGCCCAATCTGAGTCTGCGAAGCCAGAGAGTTTGAGTTGAGAGGAAGATGAATAGAACAAACCCTTGGCAGGAGCACCTTTGAGATACTTGAGTACTCGAATTGTTGCAGAATGATGAACTTGCATAGGTTGTGAGATGAATTGGCTAAGCTGTTGAACGATGAATGCAAGGTCAGGTCTGGTGGTGGTCAGATATAGAAGTTTTCCAACAAGCCTTCGATAAGTTGTGACGTCTTCGAAAGGTGGTGAGTTATCATCATGAAGCTTTAAGGAGGAATCGAAGGGAGTAGAGCAAGGTTTAGTAGCCAATAAGCCACTGTCTTAGAGCAATTCCAAAACGTACTTTCTCTGATTGAGAAAAATGCCGTGAGTTGACCTGGCAACTTCTAGACCAAGAAAATATTTAAGCCTACCAAGGTCTTTGATTTTGAAAGTGGAATCAAGGAAGCATTTGACATATTTGATTTCCTGCAAATTATTACCGGCTAAGACAATATCATCAACATAGACTAATAAGGCAGTAAAAGAAGAGTCATATGATTTGGTAAAAAAAGAATGATCAGCAGAAGAATATGAGTAGCCAAGAGAGATAAGGGCATTGGACAATTTCGAAAACCACTGTCTGCTAGCCTGCTTCAGGCCATATAATGACTTATGTAATTTGCAAACTTTGTTGGTCGAAGAAGTGCAAACTTTGTTGGTCGAAGAAGTGCAAACTTCGTTGATCGAAGAAGTGCTAACTTTGTTGATCGAAGAAGTGAAAACTTTGTTTGTCGAAGAAGTGCAAACTTCGTTGGTCGAAGAAGTGCAAACTTCGTTGGTCGAAGAAACAGAAGAAGTGCAAACTTTGTTGGTCGAAGGAGTGCAGACTTCGTTGGTCGAAGAAGCAGGGGGCAGGAATCCAGGAGGCAGATCCATATACACTTCCTCATGTAGATCACCATGAAGGAAGGCATTGTTGACGTCGAGTTATTCCAAGTGCCAATTCTTAATGGCAGCCACTGAGAGAAGGATTCGAATAGAAGTAAGCTTCGCAACAGGTGAGAAAGTGTCGAAATAATCCACCCCCTCGAACTGAGTATATCCTTTTGCTACCAAACGGGCCTTGTATCGTTCGATGGATCCATCAGCATGATGCTTGATTTTGTAGACCCATTTGCAACCAATCGATTGTTTGCCTGCAGGAAAATCAACAACAGACCAAGTATTTGTAGATTCAAGAGCATCTAACTCAGATTTCATAGCATTGTTCCAACAATCAAACTTGCAAGCTTGTTTATAGGTTTTTGGTTCTGTGAAAGAGCTTATAGATAGATAAAATAATTTGTGATCAGGACTACATTGGCTATAAGATAATACAGAAGAGAGAGGGTAGTTGGGGGAACCTGATTCAGATGCTGGCAGCATAGGAGATAGCAAATTGCAGTGATAATCAGATAGATAAGCTGGAGGTTTAATATTTCGATTGGATTTTCTGGTTGGCACAGGAGGGGAGGGGCAAGGGGAGTTGTTAGTGTCATTTGAGGAAGAAGAGAGGTTAGTGGGAGATTCTGGATGGGGGAGAGAGGTAGGAGAGGAAGGTTCATTTGATGGTGGAGGTAAGTTGGGTGGAATGTTGGTGAAAATATCAGGTGAATCAATCGAAGGAGGGTCAGGAGTAGGAATTATAGGATTAGGTGTAGGTGGGATGGATGCAAAAGGAAACACAGTTTCATAAAAGAATACATTCCTTGAAATGTAAAATTCATGTGTGATAGGATCATAGAGAAGGTAGCCTTTTGTGCCTTCCCTGTAGCCAAGAAAAATAGATTTCCTTGCTCTTGGTTCGAATTTAGTGCGATGGTTAAGCAAGGTCGAAGAATAGGCAAGACAACCAAATACTCTCATATGGCTAAGGCTGGGAGGAGTAGAATGGAGTTTCTGGTATGGAGAGTGGTTGTTTAAAAGAGGAGTGGGAAGACGGTTTATAATATGAATGGCATGTTGTATGGAAAGGTTCCAAAGGTTGTGAGGGAGGTGAGAGTGGAAAGAGAGGGCACGGGCAACATTCAAAATGTGTTGATGTTTTCTTTCCACAATACCATTCTGTTGAGGCGTTTCCACACAAGACCTTTGATGAATGATTCCTTTAGAAAGGTAGAAAGTGGTCATGAGAAACTCATGACCATTATCACTTCGAATGCACTTGAGTTTCTTGTTAAATTGGGTTTCGATAAAGGATATGAAGTGAATTAAATGGTTTCTGGTTTCACTTTTGTTGGCCATAAAAATTGTCCAAGTAAACCTGCTGTAATCGTCTATGAGGGTTAAAAAATACTTGTGGCCACATATCGAAGGTGTGGAAAGAGGGCCCCAAATATCAACATGAAGCAAATCGAAGATGGCAACAAAGTTAGTATTACTGTGAGTAAAGGGCAAATGTTTTTGCTTAGCCAAATGGCAAGTGTTACAGGGCTTATGATTGTCATTGTAGGTGACAAAAGGAAATTGAGAGGAAATACATTTGTGTATGTAGGGACTTAAGTGTCCAAGCCTAAGATGCCAAATAGTAGCAGGATCGTGTTTAGCAGGTTCTAATTGGGGAGAAGAGGAGGTGTTGACAGAGCCAGATGTGGGAGAGATATCCTTAGGTGGGGTGGCATCAAGAACATACAATTTGCCAATCCTCCTAGCTGTAAATCCAGTTATCTTGGATTGGGACAACTGCATAATGTGACAGTAATTAGGAGAAAATTTCACATCATATAAGGTGGAGTCAAAAAGAGTGGTGACAGAGATAATATTGACATGAAATGAAGGAAAGTAATAAACATTGTGAAGGACAAGTGAATCACATAGTAAAACTGAACCAGCAATAGTAGTGGTGACAGAGTCACCATTAGGCATTGTCATAGATTTAGGTGCAATGTGGTATGTGGAAAGGAAACTGGCAAAGATATGGGTGATGTGATCAGTGGCACCTGTGTCAATGATCCACCAGTTATGACAAGGAAGATTTGAGGAATTCTTACCAGAGGAAGTATGAGGAGAGGTATGGGACACAGAATTAGCAGTATAAACTGAATTAATCGAGGGAGGTGAAAGAGATTGCAAATTAGATTATTGGAGGAGCTGCAGAATCTGAGTGTATTGCTCTTGAATCGTTGACAAAGCACTTGGACTGGTGTTTGATGTGGAAGCAGCATCTTGAATCGAGTTCACTGTAGAATCAGCAAAATTTCCCACAGATGTAGTAGGCTTGCGTTGTTGAAATCCAGGGGGATAGCCATGTTTAAAGAAGCAAGTCTCAATGGTGTGATTGGTGCAGTTTCAATGAGTACAGAGTCTGTTTCCACGGCCACGACCACGACCAGGGTTGATCGAAGAACGAGAAGGTGCTTGAGAAAGGTGATTCACAGACGATTGAGACTCAATCGAAGAAGCAGAAGGTGAAAGGAGGTCGAATTGATGTTCTTGTTGAAGAACCAAATTAAACACATTATCAAGAGTTGGTAGTGGTTTCATCAGAATAATCTGCGAGCGAACATGAGCGTATTGGTCACCAAGGCCCTTCAAGAACTTGATAACTTTATCTTGTTCTTTGAATTTGCGTAAGTCTGAAGCAGCACCACAGGAGCACGGTATAGCGCAAGTACAATCACGAATTGGCCGGAAGTTCTCAATTTCTTCCCAAAGCGTCATCAATTTCGTGAAGAACGAAGAGACATCGAGAGTTCCTTGTTGAAGACGAGCAACAG